TACGCCACTGTGCGGTCCAAGCGTCTATGGCGTTTATTGCACATTGAAGATTGGCAGTTGTCTCTTCTATAGAATTTCCTACTGCTAGAACTGCAATATCATCAGCAAATGTTGCTAGTTCTATGTTATCTGTTACAGGTGTGTCGCAAGTATATAATAAGTGCAGCACTGGTCCAAACACACTGCCCTGGGGGACTCCAGCTTTTATCAATTTCAACTCCGAGTTTGCGTTCCCTTGTTTGATTCTGAAGGTTTGATGATTTAAATATGATTCCAATAGCTGTGCATACTGCAATGGAAAGAGTACTTTTAGTTTCTTGATGAGGCCATCATGTCAAACTTTATCAAACGCCTGGGCGACGTCTAGAAAAACGGCGGAGCATATCTTCTTCTTTTCTATGCACTTTTCTATTACTTCTGTTATTCTATGTACTTGATCAACTGTAGAATGTTTATTGCGAAAGCCAAACTGATGGTCGGGAACCATCTGTCCCTCATCAATTAACTTCTCCATCCTTCTATGAAAAAGTTTCTCAAATAATTTTGATTACACAGGCAGAAAAGAAATGGGCCTGTAAGATTTTGCTTCGTTTACAGTTTTGCCGGGTTTTGGTATCATAATTGCATCTGCCCTTTTCCACAACATATGAACGTGTTTTAAGCGAAACGATGCATTAATTAAATGGGTAATTTTAACAATCTCTTTTTTTGGGAGTTGTTTGAGTATGTCTCCCGTAACTAAATCATAGCCTGGAGCTTTTTTGGAATTTATGTTTGCTTTTATTACTCTAATTACTTCTTTTGGTGTAACTAAGTTTATTTCTGAGTTTTTTTGTGTTATTTCTATTTGAGGACATTCTGCCTGCTTCTCGTTTGGTTGAAAAATATTTTCTAGGTATGTGGCAAATAAAGCAGCCTTTTGTTTGTTGTCTCTAGCCCAAGTGCCACTTTTTTCTCGAATTGGAGGTATTGGTTTGATTTGTCGGTTTAATCTCCTGGTGGCTTTCCAGAGTGAATAATCTGAGCTCTGATCATCAGTTAGTTCCCTCAGKTTATTGACTCATTTTTAATTTCTTRAATTTCCCTTTTTAGTYRTTGGGTCAGGTTGTWTAGTACGGTTTTGTTTTCTCTCGTTCTGGATTTTTGCCACTCTTTTCTAGCTCTCCTCTTCTCTTTAATAAGTTCTCGTATTTCCTTGAGGTTGTTTATTCCAGCGGTTCTTCTCCTTATTTTTGGGGTGTTGTTCCATGCTGCTTGCTGAACATCATTAATAAATTTTCTTGATTCAAATCTTAAATGATCTACTGACTTGATAAGCACATTCAACTTAATTCTTTCGTTAATTTCCAGTTTAAAACATTCCCAGACAGTTTTTTTATTTGTTAGGGTCGGATTTGATTGTTTAGTTATGACATTTTCACTGATCGGTAGTAAGATCGGTGAATGATCAGACGATGGTCCCTGTTTTTCTTCAATATGTACATGACTTACCCCTAGTTTTCTTGAGACGAAAAAATCCAGGAGATCTGAAACTTTATTGATATCTGTTGGCCAATAGATAGGTTTTCCAGTTAAGTGCTATTTGGCATCTAACTCTTTCTCCTAACGTATTAAAGAAGAAAAAATACTAATTTCTGTCAATATTATGCCGTGGAGGTGAATACATAGCTGCTACCGTGATTTCATATTTTTTCGTTTTGATGCTCACACTCGTAGCCTGTATTTTCTCAGTTTCATAGCTCTGTCTTTCATAGTGAATTATATTTTGTTTTATTATTACGGCTGCTCCGCCTCTTGCAGTGTTGTGCGGGTGCAGTGCATGATGATTTGGTATCCGTTTATTTTGATATACATTTGTACTGTAAAAAGTCCATTTGTATTCCACTCAAGTATTCGCAAATCTCTTACCATTAAGGTTTGATCGACGGCTTTGCAAGTTTTCCAATTGGGCCAGTCTATCAAGTATAGATTTGTAGATAAGTTCTATATTGTTGAGGCGGATTCATTTTTTACAAACTTCTTTTTGGGTAATTCGCCTCAAAAATTTTTGTCTTTAAAAAAGACAGAATTTCGTCCCGTCTTTTATTACAGATTGATAGATAGTGCTCCTATTTCGCAATAAGAACGAATTATTTATCAAAAAGTAATCAAGAACTATCACCTAGAGGG